GGCTTCGAGGAACGAGGCAGGGAGGGCCTCGTGTGTCGCCTACGCAAGAGCTTGTATGGCCTGAAGCAAGCTCCGCGACAGTGGTACATGAAGTTCGAAAACTTTATGGAGGAGAACGGTTTTCTCAAATGTGACACAGACCACTGCTGCTTCATCAAGAGATATGACGAATCCTATATAATACTCTTAATTTATGTTGATGACATGTTGATTGCAGGGCCCGACTTGGCCCGCATTGAGGAACTCAAGGGGCGTCTCTCCGAGTGCTTCGAGATGAAGGATCTGGGTCCAGCAAACCAGATTCTGGGGATGAGGATCATCAGAGACAGATCAGCACGGAGGCTGAGGTTGTCTCAGAAGGCCTACATTGAGAAGATTCTTGAAAAGTTTGGCATGGAGAAAGCTAAACCGGTGGGCTCGCCGTTTGCAAGTCATTTCAAGCTATCGAAGACCCAAGCACCAGAGACTGCTGAAGAGCACGAGTTCATGGCAAACATACCATATGCATCTGTCGTCGGGAGTTTGATGTATGCGATGGTGTGCACGAGGCCAGATATTTCACAAGGAGTGGGAGTTGTGAGCCGCTTTATGAGCAATCCAGGGAAACAACACTGGGGTGCGGTCAAGTGGCTTCTACGCTACTTGAGAAGCTCGTCCGACCGTTGTCTTGAGTATGGCGGGGCAGATTTGCAGCTAGAGGGCTTTTGTGATGCAGACTACGCAGGGGATATAGATTCAAGAAGGAGCACGAGCGGCTACATCTTCATCTTGGGTGGTGGAGCGATAAGTTGGAGATCCAAGTTACAGGATACTGTGGCTTTGTCGACAACCGAAGCCGAGTACGTGTCTGCAGCAGAGGCAGCAAAGGAGTTGCTATGGTTGAAGGCTTTTCTTCTCGAGCTTGGAGTAAGCTTTGAGAAATACTTCATCCACTGCGACAGTCAGAGTGCCATTCACTTGACATCCGGATGATGCAACCAAGAGTGGTGTGAAGATATGATCGACATTCAATCAAATCTTCAAGTGGGAGATTGTCAGCCGCCTTTTGTTGACAAAGGCAAGTTAGGCACCGAAAGGTGCTGTTTTTTGAGAAAAATGAAAAAGATGATGGGTCCCACAGTAAATTATTATTAGTGGCGGGTCCCACTAATAATATTTTATTTATGCATAGTGTTTCTCAAACACTATAAATAGGGCCCTAAACTCTTAAGGAAAACTCATCCCAGAAACAACTCCTCTTATAGAAGAGTAAGAAAAAACAAAGAGAGAGTTTGTGAGAGTTCTTGGAGTGTATCTGATCAAGAGAGGGTGTTCTCTTGGATCAATTCTTTTGGGATATAAAAGAATTTGGCGTCGTCGTTGCACCATGGAGTAGCTCCGAAGGAGTGAACCACGTATATCTGTGAGTACTCTGTGTTGAATTTTGTGCCTTTATTTTGTGATTAAGTCTCCGTTCGAGGCTTTATTATTGGGGTGAATCCTAACAGTGTCTACTGGTCCGGAAAATGGATCATTAGCATAGGTGCAACTGATCACATGACTCCGCGATTATACATTCTCAAAACCCCTTCAGCTACCAAACTATTTTTATATATCAGATTGCCTAATGGTTCAACTTTTCCTATATCTCATGTTGGTTCTGTTAGTCTATGCACCAACTTGTCACTTAAAGTCTATCTCGCACAAGCTATTAGGGCTGTAACTTGAAAACCGATAACCGAAAAATAACCACACCAAAACCGCACCATAACCGAAAAAAACCGAGAAAAGAAAAAAATCGCACCAAACCGCAAAAAATAACCAAAAACCGAAAGGTTTGGTGTGGTTTTGGTTTCGGATGTCTGGAAACCGAAACCGAACCGAAAAACCGATTGGTGTGGTTTTGGTTTCGGATGTCTGGAAACCGAAACCGAACCGAAAAACCGATTATATATATTGTAAGAAAATTATATTATTTATAGGATGTCTGGAAACCGAAACCGAACCGAAAAACCGATTATATATATTGTAAGAAAATTATATTATTTATAAATATATATAAAGAGGGGCAGAGCTCACGTTGAGGAATTTGCCATCTGTTAAGCTGGGGGTTGCTTGGAATTTAGCCATGTTCAATAGGTTGAAAGGTGATGCTAATTTTTACTGCGCCTTAAAGTAAATATATATGCTAATTTTTATTGAGCCTTAAAGTAAATATATATTACAAGAGCTACTAATGCTCCTGTACGGTTATAACCAGACACAACGAATATGTGTTTTGCTATTGTTTTGTTTTAGTTTTTCTTAATTTTGAGAAACCATTCAGGATTAGTACAGTTCTTTCAATTGGGAAGCAATTTTTCGGTGCAGGAGCTAAGGTCTTCTGACTATTGTTTGTGAAATCATGTGTCTCATGAAGGTTGTTTTTGCAGGTTTTTGGATTTTTGGTCATGGATTGGAGCTTGCTGCTGAACTTGAAGTTAGCTCTCATGGACATGGAGGCATCTATCATCTATATGTTTCTGCTATTCTAGTTTTTCATCGTTTTTTTTTATTTTAGAAAACTGTTATGTGCATGGCATTGTGGGCTGCCCTTTTTTATTTTTTTTTCTTTTCTTTTCTTTTCAGAAACGGTTATGTAATATGAGACATTTCTATTTTCTACTTTTCTAGACTTGTTTTCTTTATAAAATAACCGAAAAAAAACCGGTATAAACCAGAGAAAAACCAAACCGAATTAAACCGAACACAATTGGTTTATGAAAAAATAAGTGAAAAACCGAACCGAACCAAACCGAAAAAATAGATCGGTTTGGTGTTCGTTGTCACCTATAAACCGCACCATTCAAACCGATTAACAGCCCTACAAGCTATGGCATCAAAGGATGGGTCGCGCACCTGTTCCTAGACTCAAACAGATACAAGCTTTGAAGTCTTCTTTTGCGAAAAATCTAGATTTCAATTGTAATAATTGCACCGATACAAAATCACATTTTTGAATTGCTTCGTGTTGATTAATGGGGTCCTTATAAAACACCCACACACAGTGGAGGCAGATTTTTTTTTGTAACCATCGTTGATGGGTTTTCAGGAATTACTTGGACCCATCTCCTCCAATATAAGTCTCAAACTCTTTCCATCCTTAAGACCATTATTGCCACGATCAAAACTCAATTCAGTTCATCTACTAAGGTCATTATGAGTGATAATGGTACTTAGTTCTTCAACGAAGATTGCATTGACTTCCTTTCTACTCATGGTATTATGCATCAAAGGACTTGCATCTACACTCCTTAACATAATTGAGTGGTACAGAGAAAACATAGGCACTTGTTGGAAGTAGCCAGGGCGCTTAAATTTCAATCTCATTTGCCTACACAGTTTTGGGAGGGAGTACATCCTCACCGCAGCCTATTTTTATAAATAGGACTCCTACATCTTTTCTACCCGGTTTTATTCCATTCCATAGATTCTTCAACAAAACCCCCAGTTATGCTCATTTAAGGGTATTTGGTTGTCTTTGCTTTGCTAAAAATGTAAACAACCACGATAAATTCTCTCCTAGAGCCTCTATATGCATATTCATGGGATACCCCTCATGGGCAAAAGGGTTACAGATGTTAAATATTGAAACTCAAAAATTCATTGTCAGTAGGGAAGTAGTTTCTTTTTTTTTAGGATGTGTTTCCTTTTCAACACGTAGGCATTCCGGATCAAACTGTCATTCCGAAGCCTATCTATGAAAATCCTGATGATCATCCCTTACATACCACATATATTCAAGCCATGAAGGACCCGGAGTGGATTGAGGCTGTGGATCAAGAGCTAGCTGCCCTCGAACAAAATCACGCTTGGTCTCTGGCCACTTTGCCTGCAGCTGGTAAGAAAACTATTGGGTATAAGCGGGTTTACAAAGTCAAGCATAATGCAAATGGTTCTATAGAGAGGTATAAAGCCAGGTTGTTAGCGAAGGGTTTTTACACAAACTTGAGGGTTTGGATTACGAAGAAACTTTTGCTCCTTGCCGTTGTGGCCTCACCTCACTGGCCTTTATATGAAATGGATGTTAACAGTGCATTAATTTCTTACATAAGTCTCTCTTTATGGACTTAAAGCAAGCTTCGAGGCGGTGTTTTGCCAAATTCTCAGGCGCACTGTTAGCAGCTAGTTTTCATCAGTCCAAGACCTGATGAGGAAATAGTAAAGCTTCCATTGATGGTTTGAAATTATATAATGCTGGTAAGTTTCACATCAAGGATCTTGGAAGGTTGAAATACTTTCCTGGCATAGAGGTGGCTGCATCAGCAAAGGGTGTTTTTCTCAATCAGAGAAAATATTGCCCGGATATTCTGGAAGACACAGGAATGATGGGATGCAACCCTTCTCTTGTATCTGTAGAACCACAATGGAAGCTCAAGGATGAGGATGTAGAGCCTCTAAGGTCGCCAGATGCATATGGAAGGTTAATTGGCAGATTGATCTATCTAACCATCACAAGACCTGATGTATCTTTTTCGGTCCAGGTTCTCAGTCAATTCATGCATTCTCCTAAAGTTCCACAAATTTACCAAATGAAACCCCAAGAGACACTCGCACTCTCAAACAAATTGTGCATCAGTTAACCACTACACAGTTGAGGAATTCAACTCTTATTCTTGTGTATCAGTCAAAAACATGCACAGCTCAGTTAGTGAAAAACACAATCCAAAAGGGTGAAACGGAAATAAGATCGATGACAAGAAAATTATGTACCTCTATGAGTTCATATATACCGAATAAGGGAGTGCACAGAGAGACACACATAGAAAATATCCCAAAAAACAAACTTTATTTCCAGTAAGTCAAAGTAAACTATTGACAGGTATATAAACAATTACAATTACAAACATGACATTTCCAATGAAACTACTGACATAAGCTTTTTTGAGCATTTAGACCGACTTCTCTTCTTGTTTCCAGGAGTGCATATGCTGCTGATACAAAAGAATTCTGCTTCTGCTGAGTTTATTGCCTTCTCCTGTCTAGCAACCCAAAGAAACAAAATTATGTTTCGGCAACCTTGTTGCAAATTTATTAATATGACACCCTCGATTCCCCTTATGCTTCTCTTGCCTATTTTGCTGAACTGGTAGACTCTTCAGGTCTATCATCACGACCCTGCGCTTCTTTTTTATATTTTCAGCATCCTCATAGTTTTCTCGCAGCTTCCTCTTTGAAATCTCGAGCTTCTCCTTATACGTCAGGTCCTCAGGTTTGCCAGTGACACGAGGCAAAATCTTTGGTGAAGCCCTTTTACAGACTTGTATTGGCTTCAAGTTGGGGCTCGGTTCGTCAGTGCTCTTCTTTAGGAGAACTGACTTTGCTGGTTCTGTTGAAGCCGGATTTCCTGCTGGTTTCACAATTTCCTGAGGCTTGGTGATGGAGTTTTTCACCGTTCTCAACTGAGTTTTTCTGTGACTCGTGATGAAAGTCCCCTGAGGCTTGAGAATGGATCTTTTCAATACTTCAATGTTCTTCCCAGTTCTCTTTTGTTCTCTTCTGCGAAGGGGCCATTCATCAACCGTCCCGTTGAAGAAATTTGTGAGATCAAATGTCAAAGTCTGTGAAGCCAACAGATCACTGATATCAAACGGAAGTTCCTCCTCTCTAGCCCAATGTAAATCGAAGATTTCTCGCGTATCGGCCATCCATTTACTCAGAAGAAACTCCCAGCCCGTGACGAGAAGATGGGCGAATTTTCTGATTCTCTCACTGGTATCTTTTAAGAAGCATTTTACTGAAGTGGTGATGTTTGTGGCTTTGATGGTATCCACAGGGAGCTCCATCAACTGCAGCAGTCTTAGTGACTCAAATAGAAGATTCTCAGACTGCAAGGAAAAGAAATTTTTATCAGCTGAACTATTTATAACCATTACTGTACTAGAACAGATCAATATCTTCCCGAAACAACAACAAAACCATAAATTAATCTCGGTACAAAATAATTAAACCTGAAACTTTTACCATCTATCTATATTTACCCGGAAAAAAAACCTGAAACTTTTACCATCTATCTATATTTACCCGGAAATAAACCTGAAACTGATCTCTAATTAAGTTCAGGAATGAGTGCACGAAGAATAAATTACTTGAACCTCCCAATTATAAAATGTGTAATGCAATCAAAACTTAGTCTAATTAATAACTGGTCAATGCACGTAATTCGTCTTATTTCTAGTCTTAAACATTGCAAACCTATCGAAATCTAATAAGCCAAAAACAAAATCCTGCACAGTAACAAATTATCCTGATTATAAATAAATAAATAATTCTCAATCCTAAGCATTCCAAAACTATAAAAACTAAAGCAAACTCGAAATCCCCTCGGACCCATTTTAGAAGAATCCCAGTCAATCAAGAAACAAGCCAAAAAAGAAAAAGAATTCAACAAAGATGAAACTTACGTGTTCATGACGAGCATCAAGAAGCTTCTTGATCCTGAGCACCTCTCGAACGGTGTCGCTCTCTAGGGAAGGCAATTTATGCCCATACCCATTTACCCATCTGGCCCACCCATTATTTGCCCACTCAAAACCCACCCATTTAATTAAATGGGTCTAAATGGGCGGGTCCATTTTACATCTAATTAAACGGGTGCTAAATGGGCATTCTAATGTAAATCTTTTGGTGAGGCACATGACATATCCAAGCTCTAGGAATTAATAGTTGGAGGTTTTAAGCTTCTCCCACAAATGTTATGTATTTTAAAAATCAGTAATGATATCCCACAAATGTTATGTATATGCTGTATCTATCTGTTTTCATCTGGTTTTTTCTTTGCTTGTGTAGTACGTGCTTGAGATTGAAACCTGGCTGTTTTTGCAGCACAAGCATGGAAAGGGTGAGAGCTCAAGTTGTGGGGAGGAGAAAAAGGCAAGAGATGGAGGCACAAATGATACAATCCACGGGAATTATATAAGCCCATCATTGTTACTTGCTCAGCTACCATACTGTCTCATCAAACTATATGAAAACATACTTGATAAAGTTCATATCATAGACTTTGGTCCTGATCAAAGAGCTACAAGATAAAGACTAGGATTAGACTTAAATCTTGTTGCTTCTCTTACATATGGAGGTGTAGATGGGAAAAAGAAGATTATAATGACAGTGATCACCTAATCTAGATTATGGTGCAATAGATAGAAATGCCAAAAGCAGGAGACATTTTAGGCAAATAGCACATATGAAGGCCAATTGGTTTAGGAAGTTAAAGTTAAGTCTCTCAACTTTCTATCTGTTCATTAATGTATTATCAGAATCACAGGCATCGAAATTTCTTACTAATTTTCTCAAAATTCAAATGTTGATTGGTTTTTTCTGTTTTGCATTCTTGTAGGAAGACAACTAGACTCAGGGTTTTCACGAGAGAAAAACATCAAGACATTCTCTGTGAGTCAAGACACGCATGCCCTTGTGAGAAAAGAAACTAGAAAATCTATGATTGATGAGAAAGAATGTCTAGTGTACTTATGCAGGCAGTAACTTAAGATTTCATCGCAACGAAATGTATGGACAGCTGAACTGGTTCTTGGTTAGACGGGATTCCTTGTGAGTTGCCTTCTTTTTTTTTCCTTTATTGCTTTTTTGTATTGTTGTGGGCTACATATTTTATCACAAAATATTAATATTATTTTTTCTTATTAAATGCAGCTCTGGCAGACATTGAAGAAGGAAATTTATTAGTACATGATTTCAGTAATCTAGAGGTTTCTGAATCGGAAGGCGAAAGTGATTAAGGTAAGATTTTACTTGTTCCATGAAATTAGTGTACATCATAAACTTGCTTTTCTAATGTTGTTGGCTAAATATTGATTGTTGTTTTAATATGTATTTATTTCTCATAAGTTTATGTTTCCTGCCAAAAGTTAGAAATTCTGAAGTAAAAGGACCCCTGGATGTTGCCATTTTCGAATTTTGACAATTTGCAATTTAAGTGTGCATAATATGGCACAACCTTTATTATATAGAAATTCTGTAGATGCATTACATGGCACAAGTTTATGTTTTTGTGGTTGTCTTTGATGCGCGTGTGGTTGGCTTAAAGTCCAAGAGCACCACTTTGTGAGCTTGTTGTAGCTGGATCATTGTCCTTCTCAATTGCTGTCCTCTCCTTTGTGATAAACTGATAGTTGCCTTGCCATTTGCCTTTTTGTTTTCGGGCTGTCCTTTGCCTGTGTTTTGTATGGTAAAACAATTTAGAATTTTGCTTACTCATATACTAGGCATCCTAAGTTCATTTAGTTAAGTGGATTGTGTACTTTGATGTGTTTCCAACAGAGTGTCTTTGAGTTCCAGCACAATGTATGTGGCCGTTCTATATATGCCGAGGGAACTATTGATGCTGCCATATTTCTGTCGAAAAAGGTAATAGATAGCAATTCTATTTTCCTTATATTTAACTTTAATCTTTTAAAAACCATACTTTTGAGGGTTTTTTTGTAAAAGCTCCTAAACTTTCTAAATAGGAGAAAACTACCATGCTTTTTTTTCCACTAAAACACCATGACAGGCAGAGTCTAGGTTAAGTTGTCATGTGCTTTGTATCCGACATTTAGGGTGTTTTGTGAAATTTAACCAATCATTTTGGACAGTTGATCATTCTTGAAACTATTGTGCTCATGTAGGTGCAGTCCAAGGCTGATAAGAAAATATACGACATGATTGATGTATTGAGAGAAGGCAACATGCGATAAGTTCTACTTTTGACATTTGCTTTCTACAATTAATTAGTATGAGTAAGCAAAATTTTTGAGCTTTTGCCTCACTTTTACACTACACGTACAAATACCAAGAAGGATTTCCCTTAAATCATGAGATTACAAATATTAAGTTCTTTATATATTAATACAGTTCCCATGCAGCAAATGTTCAAAAATTGAACAATTAACCAAGTGAAGTTTCATGATTTTTAGTTGCATTTGGAGCTGAAGTTGCTGTTGTTGCTGATGCAATTCTTGTTGCTGCTGCAGCTGTTGAAGATGATGTTGCTCCTCTAACCTGAAGTTTCAAAAATTGCTCCAACTCTGGCATATACTGGTTAACTGACTGTTGATGCTGCAGAGAACCTTGAATTTGTTCAATAAATGGCACAGACGAATTCTGACGAGAAAGCAAGCGCTGCTGCTAAAGCTGTTGTTGGTGCTGCTGTTGCTGCTGCTGTTGCTAAAGTTGCTGAAGTTGCTGAAGCTGCTGCTGCCGAAGCAGTTGTTGCTGATGCTGCAGAGAACCTTGAATTTGTGAGCTAGTAGTACGTCTATAACTGCAGTTATTTTGGTTGATTTTGGTTGATTCTGTAATATGTTTATACTGTTTCCTTGCGTTGTGATTATTGTCAGTCGCAGCATTGTCAATTTGGGGGCTAAGATTTACTTTCTCGTAAAATCCCTCTCTTTTGATCTTTGTTTCCTGGTCTTTTCTTTCTTCTGTCATGATCCTGTTCATGCCTGAACATTTGAAAGATGGGAAATAAGTAGACTATGGTTGTGCTACTATTTTGTTTATAGACGAACTTACTACTCTTCTAGTTTATAATTAATAACTGGTCAATGCACGTAATTCGTCTTATTTCTAGTCTTAAACATTGCAAACCTATCGAAATCTAATAAGCCAAAAACAAAATCCTGCACAGTAACAAATTATCCTGATTATAAATAAATAAATAATTCTCAATCCTAAGCATTCCAAAACTATAAAAACTAAAGCAAACTCGAAATCCCCTCGGACCCATTTTAGAAGAATCCCAGTCAATCAAGAAACAAGCCAAAAAAGAAAAAGAATTCAACAAAGATGAAACTTACGTGTTCATGACGAGCATCAAGAAGCTTCTTGATCCTGAGCACCTCTCGAACGGTGTCGCTCTCCTCATCGATCTCGTCGAGAAGCGCGCTGGCCTCTTCATCACAGCCGTACGTGCTCTCTGATTTCTGCTTCATCTTCTCTATTTCTTTCTTTCTTCTCTATTTCTCTCGCATTCAATATATATTAGCTTTTGTGTGTTTTTTTTTTTTTTTTACTTTAGAAACTTATGATTCCTGGACCAACTCGGATTAAGTAACAAAGTGAAGCCGCGTTGATTTGGAAAGTTTGCAGTCCGCGTAGGTTTAGGAGTTCATGAAATAGATCGTTTTATTATAGGAAACACTTGATTTCGAGCCACTTTCAAATTGTGGATAGCGGGTTCACTTGATTTAACCCAAACCCGCTTTGGGAAACCTTGATTGCTCGATCGCTCGCGCAGGTGTTTTTACATGCGCACCCCTCGTGTCATTCGTATTTGCAATTTAACCCCCACTTTTACCAAATAGGATGCGACTGAGTAAACCAAATGATTTTTACTGTTTTTATATGTTTTTTTCCTCGTACATATGCTTTGTCGAAACTGACCGAAATTTTAAACAGGGGTTATTCGATGTTAGTCCATTACATCTTTAGTAATTAGATATTAGTCCGTCAAATCCGCATATTTTGATATTATAATTGCTCAAAACACTTAAATTTTAAACACCAAGTAAATTACCCTGATTCATTCTTAAACCCAAACAGTTTTATTTCTACCTATAAACCGAAACAATTTTTAATTACAGAAAAAAACCTAAAATTTTTAATTGCATAACACACCCTCAAATTCAAAATTTTCAAAAAAAAAAAAACACCCTAAAAGTTTCAAACCAACAAACAATACACTGAAAATCTAGGAATTACTTAACAGCCATCGGATAAATTTGAAATTTGCACAAAGCACCTTAAAAGTTTCTAGAGCTGCAAGAAACTCTGCTCAAAATTTTAAAATTTATTAAAAACCCCAAAAAGAATAAAACTTTTTATCCAAGGCCCCATGCCCTGACCAATAGGCCACTTGCAGGGAGGTTAACTCAAAAATATATCACTTTAAAGAGTAATGCTAACTAAAATTATATTTGGAAAGATTCAAAGATTAGACTGAAGTCGGATAGCAATTGATCAAAACGAATTTGACCCGAATCCATTTTAGCAAACAATATTATCGTTATTGCTCAATTGCCAAATTGTTACTGTTAGAATTTAGAGACGGTTAGAGACGGTTAGAGACTCCCAAGTCCTACTCTGAGTAGGCTTCAGACCAAACCAAGAATAAAAGCAGAGCATGCGCTACTAAAATTAACACGTCCAACCTGAGGGCAAAAAAAATTCAGAGAAGAGAAAAGAAAAGAAAGAAAAAAGAAAAAAAATTTAAAGGGAAGGTGAATTAGCAATGGAGGTGGAGGGAGCACGGGAGAGGCGAGTTCGACTCGTCATCAAGAGCGGAGGAGTAGTCGTGGCGAGATCTTGCCGCCTCTACGCGGTCAAAGATGATCCAGCTCAAGAGGAGGAGAAGAAATCAGAGGAGTTACCGAGAAAACGACTTCGCCTCAACGGTGAGGGCTCAGCGCCTACGGAGGCTGCAACACCACAGTACTCTACCGCCGCAGATGTAACCAGCTGTGCAGCCAAGAATCCGATGGAGAATTTGAGGAGAAAACGAGTCGAACCAACTCAACATCCTCGGCAGAGCACTAAACAAGCACCATCCCGTCCTGCTGATAAAACTGACGTCAAGATCACTGAGGAATCACGATCTCCTCCTGCCGATAAGCCTCCCGTTCAGATCGCGCAGAATCTATCACTTGGTGAGAAGTTCGAGATTACCAAGAGAAAGCTCCACCAAAGTTATCAAGAATCCAACAACGCGAGGAAGCAGCGGAGCGTCAAAGTTTTGGAGGTGGACGAGTTACCGAAGAAACAAGGTATCAACGAGGAGAAGTTGAGGGAGAAGAAACGAGCACTGATGAAGAAAAGAATCCACATGCCAAGTTTTCGTTTGAGACGGTGAGCGAGGATTCGATATCGTCATATATATATACGTATGTATATATACTTATTGTATTAGATGCAGTCTTTGTGTAAGAGTTTAAAAAATGTTGTAAAACTTTCCCGCATTAATGTGGAAAAGGGCTGTTTGCATTTGTGGTGGAGTTATTTGAGTAAAAGTTAGTTTCTTGATTCAGTTTCTAGCTTTTCTTTAGTTATTCTGGCTGAATATATCAATCACATTGAGCAGACTCTTGCTCAGGATGCCAATTGCATGCGCTGGTAACCGACACCATTTATGTGAATCAGTTACTCTCTGTGGCTTGTTTGTCTTTGGCTGCCAAGACGGAGGAAACTGAAGTCCCTTTATTGCTTGACTTACAGATGCGTTGAATATTCCATATGAACTATTCCCTAGGTTGCAATATAAGACTTTTTCACTTAATTATGAAAATTTTATGTGAATTAAATCAGGTTAGCGAATCGAAATATGTTTTTGAAGCTAGGACTATTCAAAGAATGGAGCTTCTTGTTCTGAGCACTCTCAAATGGAGGATGCAGGCAGTCACCCCTTTCTCTTTCATAGACTATTTCCTTCACAAATTCAATGATGACAATTCCCCAACCAAGCCATTGATCTCTCGAGCAGCTCAGCTAATATTGAGCACCGCTAGAGGTATAAAATCTTTGTTCACGTCCATACGATAAATTTGTAAATAAAGTACAATTTATCTGAATTATGTGAAACTGGAATGTAGGAATCGAGTTTTTAGCGTTCAGGCCTTCTGAGATTGCAGCAGCATTTGCAATGTCAGTATTGGGAGAAACCCAAATGGTGGATATTGAAAAGTTTTCATCCTTTTGCAACAATGTAGACGAAGTATAATCTCTGTAATTACGAAACGTTTTGTCATAACTACCCAGGTTTTTAGTTGGTTTATATGATTATATTTTGGTTGGTTGCAGGAGAAATTGCTGAGATGTTATGAAGTTGTACAGGAGGTGATACTTATGAAGAGTATGGGCCTAAAGAATGCAAGTAGTCTATCAATTTTCTCTGTGCTGAGCCCAAATTGGGTTTTTGATGCTGGATGCAGCTTGACCTATGACAGTAAGGAAATGGCCGTCGATACTCATGAAAATTCGAAGTTACAGTCTTTTCAGGCTGCAAACCAGCATGAATTTTGTCTCAAAAGAAGATTTTGAACAATTCTGTAACAAATTTACTTATGGACTATGGCATATCCAGGCATGATTTAGAGATATTAGCAGTCAATTTTCAGTTAAGTCCAACTTTTATCTTATTATTACGTATCAGTCCAAAACATGCACAGCTCCATAAGCTAGAGTCTGACAGAACACCTGACAGGAAAAATAAGTATTGAGTATTGGCTTTTCTTAGTTTACCTTCTAGCTATTACAATAAAAATATAAAGGATTAGACTAACCTCTTACCTTCATTTCTTCATTCCTTAATATCAGTCTAAATTGTTGTTCAATTATGACAGGAAGCTCTTCCGTAGTTTTCCCTTTCGAGGATGAAAAAACTCTCTAGACTGCTCCATGTTATAACTTGTATACAAAACTGTAACACATCATTAATTAAGCAAAATATAAAATTACATTCAAAATTAATTACTTTACAGTAATTCCGTTAATAAACCATCATAATATGATCAAATGATTCTTGTAAGCATCTTTATTAGAACGGTTTCACCTCTAAGATGCATTTGATATACAAAGTACTGAACTTATTCCCTTCCCTTTATCTATCAAGCCAAAGGAACATAATTAATTTTTGGCAGCATTGTTGCAAATTTACTAAGGTGACACCGCCCATTCCCATGACGCTACTCCTGGTTATGTTGATCTGTATCAGAACCATTTTACAACCAGTATGAACCCTCTAACATTCTAAATTGATACGATCCAAAATATCAAATTAAATAAGAAAACACATTAAAATATTACACAATTAAACCCCAAAAGGCACTCTCACTCTCAGAAAAAAATTGCGCGTCAGTTATCCTTTACCAAGTTATATTAGGTTGAGAAATTCAACTCTTACTTGTGTATCAGTCAAAAACATGCACAGCTCAATAAGTGAAAAATGCAGTCGAGAAGAGTGAAACAGAAATAAAATAGATGACAAGAAAATTATGTACCTTTGTGAGTTCATATATACCGAATAAAAAAGTGCACAGAGAGGCACACAGAGAAAATATCTCAAAAAATGAACTTTATTTCCAGTAAGTCAATGTAAACTATTGACAGGTAAATAAACAATTACAAATTACAAACATGACATTTCAAGTGAAACTACTGTCATAAGCATCTTTATTTCCAGTAAGTCAATGTAAACTATTGTCAGGTAAATAAACAATTACAAATTACAAACATGACATTTCAAGTGAAACTACTGTCATAAGCTTTTTCTGAGCATTTAGACCGACTTCTCTTGTTGTTTCCAAGAGTGCATGTGCTGACCTCTGCTTCTGCAGAATTTATCGCCTTGTCCTGTCTACCAAGCCAAAGAAACATGATTATGTTTCGGCAACCTTGTTGCAAATTTATTGATATGACACCCTCGATTCCTCTTATGCTTCTCTTGGTTATGTCGCTGCACTGGTACACTTTTCATGTCTATCATCACGACTCTGCGCTTCTTTTCTATATTTTCAGCATCCTCATAGTTCTCTCATAGCTTCCGCTTTGAAATCTCGAGCTTCTCCTTATACGTCAGGTCCTCAGGTTTGCCAGCGACACGAGGCAAAATATTTGGTGAAGCCCTTTTACAAACTTGTGTTGGCATCATGTTGGGGCTCAGTTTGTCAGTGCTCTTCTTTAGGAGGACTGACTTTGCTGGCTCTGTTGAAGCTGGATTTCCTCCTGGTTTCAAAGTTTTCTGAGACTTCGTGATGGAATTTTTCACAGTTTTCAACTGAGTATTTTCCCCAGTTTTCTCCACACTCTTCGGTTAAACCTGTAAACAACTTTTAGTTTCACTTGGTAGCTCATTTCTATAACTCATGATGAAAGTTTCCTGAGGCTTGTGAATGGATCTTTTCAATACTTCAATGTTCTTCCCGGTTCTCTTTTGCTCTCTTCTGCTAGGGGACCATTCATCAACCATTCCGTTGAAGAAATTTGCGAGATCAAACGTCGAAGTCTGTGAAGCCAATAGGGACCATTCATCAACCATTCCGTTGAAGAAATTTGCGAGATCAAACGTCGAAGTCTGTGAAGCCAATAGATCACCTATATCAAACGGAATTTCCTCCTCTCTAGCCGAATATATATCGAAGCTTTCTCGGGTATCAGCCGTCCATTTACTCAGAAGAAACTCCCAGCTCGTCACGAGAAGATGGGTGAATTTTCTGATTCTCTCACTGGTATCTTCCAAAAAGCATTTTACCGAAGTGGTGATGTCTGTGGCTTTGATGGTATCCGCAGGGAGCTCCATCAACTGCAGCAGTCTTAATGACTCAAATAGAAGATTCTCAGACTACAAGGAAAAGAAATCTTTATCAGCTAAACTATTTATAACCATTCCTGTACTAGAACAGATATCTTCCCTAAACAACAACGAAACCATAAATTAATCGCGGTACAAAATAATTAAACCTGGAACTTTTACCATCTATCTATAATTAAAAGCAAAAACCTGAAGCTTTTACCATCTATCTATAAGTAAATGCAAAAACCTGAAACTGATCTCTGAGTTCAGAGATAAGTGCATGAAGAATAAATAACTTGAACCTCCCAATTGTAAAATGTGTAATGCAATCAAAACTTAGTCCAATAACAGGTCAATGCATGTAATTCATCTTATTTCTAGTCTTAAACATTGCAAACCTATCAAAATCTAATAAGCCAAAAAACAAAATCCTGTGCAGTGACAAACATGAACCACAAACCTGAAACTTTTATATCATCTGTAACTAAGAACAGAAAGCTAAACTCTCTTAGTTCCAAGCACACAAAGAAATAAGAAGGGTTATCTGCATATATACCCCTTAAGTCATGGGTATTTGCAAAACTACCCCCAAATCTTTGCATTTGCGAAGCTATACCCCTCAGCTCATCAATTTTTGACGGGTGGGAGGGGGGGGCACCCTAAAATCAACAAATCATCAACTTGATGAGTAAAAACTTGACTATGTTGTTAATAATTTACACTGCAGTTGCATACTAGCCTATTAAAGTTGATAATTCATTGATTCGGAGGAATCCTTTTCCGCAATTGATGGCTTGAGGGGTAGATTTGCAAATACTGAGATATTTTTGGGGGGCTAGTTTTGCGAATGCCCATGATTCAATAGGTATGTTTGCAAATAACCCAAACAAGAGAAACGAACGATCCATCAACAAATTTGGTACTGTGGCTGAGATGATTGCATGAAAATAGTTTCATGATGCCTTTTCCATGGAGAAATCGCCGGCGTACCTATTACGTTATGTGTTATGAAATCTCTTATGATCATAATATTTCTTGGAAGCAAAATAGATCCATGGTTACAACTTTGGACCTACATTTAGGACGTAATTATCAATGCAAGAGGTATTATCCAAAGTTGAGTATGTCTGGTTGAACTCTTGAGAAGATGGTCGGGACATCTCCTTGGATTGAATGTGAGGTATAAGGCTATAGAGATCTATATTCAGAAATTGTGGAAAGAAATTGGCAATCCCCAATTTTACTTACTAAAAGCTGGAATTTTACCAAGCAATAGCTCGCAAAAAAAATATAAAATAACATAAAAATCAAACACGGCGTTAGGTAAGACTACTACTTTTAATCTTTAGAGATTAGAGATGGACTTCAATGCTATAAATTCAATAAAGAAACAATAGAAAAAACATCAAATAATGAGCAAAAAAATCAGCCAGGATAATAATCTCACCTTAATTTCCAATGCCTCCCAATCCAATCTGCGCTTCTGATATTCTACTAGTAATATCTTCATCATCGTCTTCTTCCATCGTCGGAGAGAGGACTCCACTGTGAGAAAATTGTTATTTACTGATGAGAGGGAAACAGAGAGTTGTATTTTTCTGTGAAACTTCTACAAAGGCCCAATGAAGAGAGAGCAATTTAGATATGTAAAATATCACCATTTCAAAACAACTTAGTTCGCATATAATTTAGATATGAAATTAAAACAAGAGTTTCGATTCGACCTTATGGAGCAGACGGCGGATCCGTCGTCGCGTTGTAGAAATCGAGAGAGAAACTGGAGCGGAGGCTAGGGTTTTCTAGTTGGGTTTTGGGTTGGTTAGCGGTTACGGGTTTGGGATTTTGGTATTTGGATCCGAATTCTTACGTTTATTAAATTGCTCAGGCAGCGGAGGAATCACGCTGACTGTTGCCGTTGTCGGGTTTGATTATGTAGCCTAACTAACTAATGTTTCCTAAAACTCAATAATAATAACTTACCAAATATGGCAGCAATTATTTCCAGTAATAAAGGGAAAAATTACTGAACCAACCAACTCAATAACTAATCTCGAAGTAGATCGTTTTAGGAAACATTTGATTTGGAGCCACTTTCAAATCATGGTGTTTTTACATGTTCACCCCTCGTATCATTCATATCTGCAATCCCTCCAAAATGCATAACTTTGCGAATTTAACCCCCAATTGTACCAAATAGGACGCTTTCTCGTTTCACATGGTGTCCAGAGGATCGCTGGGGGCATGTAGGATTAAACCAAATGATTTCACTTTTTTTTTCTATGTTTTTCCTCTTATATATGGTTCGCCGAAACTGACTGAAGTACGAACGCGAGGTTCGTCTGAAGTACGAACGCGAGGTTCGTCTGAAGTTCGAACGCGAGGCTCGACTGAAGCACGAACGCGAGGTTCGTCTGAAGTACGAACGCGAGGCTCGACTGAAGTACGAACGCGAGGTTCGTCTGAAGTACGAACGCGAGGTTCGTCTGAAGAACGAACGCGAGGTTCGTTAAAAAATTGAGCTTGACGCTCACCTGAGTTGAACGCGAGGTTCACCTTGGAACGAACGCGAGGTTCGTTAAAAAATTGAGCTTGACGCTCACCTGAGTTGAACGCGAGGTTCACCTTAGAACGAACGCGAGGTTCGTTAAAATTGAGCTTGACGCTCACCTGAGTTGAACGCGAGGTTCACCTTAGAACGAACGCGAGGTTCGTTGAGCGCGAAGCTCGGTTAAAATTGAACAAACGCGAGGTTCGTTTGAGGTAACCACCTCCTTAATTTTCGCCATGAACCCTTAGGGTTTCAAATTGAAACCGCCGCCGACAAACCCAAAAAACCTTTGATTTTTATTTTCAAAACAGATCCAGAATTGGAAAAAATTGAAGAAAAAATCAAAGGAAAATCCAAAAAATTCCAAAAAGTTACTGTTCAACGGATATTTTTCAGTTACTGTTCACCCGAAAACTGTTCGTTACTGTTCAGCCGAACAAAAAAATTTTTACTGTTCATCCGAAAATCAAAGAAAAATCCAAAAAATTCCCAAAAATTGAATCTTTAACCAGAGATTTAAGATCAAAAACCCAATAAAACTTAAATCCCTAAGAATTAATCAAGGTGGCTCTGATACCACTTGTTAGATCTACATCATAAACTTTAGATCTGAAACTTTATAGCCATGATTAATTCAAAGAGATTAACAAGGATCTAAAAGAGCGGAAGCTTATACCTGAATCCATTGCTTGATCTTGAGATGGGTTTTAATCTTCTAACCTTAGGGTTCTCTCTTGGCCGAATTTCTCTCTTAGATGGGGGTGAAGAGAATTAGAGAATGTAACCCTAGGTTAGGGACCATAACCCCTTATTTATAGATGTTGTACTTTTGTAATTTAGCCCCTCAATAAATTACAATTACAACCTGGTATCTGCACATATAACCCCATGACTTATTTAAATACCAAATTAACCCAACTTAATTGATCACTTTAGTGGGTTATCCTGAAAGATAGCAATACACATTGATTAATCATATGTGCCCACAAATAGATTTATTAGATTAAATCCAACATGTTTTGGACTGATACACAAGTAAGAGTTGAATTTCTCAACGTACTATAAACTGGTAATGGATAACTGACGCGCAATTTTTTTGAGAGTGAGAGTACCTTTTGGGGTTTAATTGTGTAATATCTTGGTGTGTTTTCTTATTTAATTTGATATTTTGTATTGCATCAAATTAGAATGTCACAGGGTTCATACTGGTTGTAAAATGATTCTGATACAGATCAACATAACCAGGAGTAGCGTCAAGGGAATGAGCGGTGTCACCTTAGTAAATTTGCAACAATGTTGCCAAAAATTGATTATGTTCCTTTGGCTTGATAGATAAGGGGAAGGCAATAAGTTCAGTACTTTGTACCACCCTAGGCAAGTATATCAAATTCATAGCAGATGTGCATCTTAGAGGTGAAACTGTTCTAATAAGGATACTTACAAAAATAATTTGATCATATTATGAAGGTTTATTAGGGGAATTACTGTGAAATAATAAATTTTGAATGTAATTTTATATTTTTTGCGTTCTTAATGATGTGTTACAGTTTTGCATACAAGTTATAACATGGAATCTAGAGATCATCCCAGAAAGGAAAAAATTGCAAATGCTTCCTGTCATAATTGAACAACAACTTTGATTGATATTAATGAAGAAATAAGCAAGTGAAGGAAAGAAGTTAGTAGTCCCTATAAGGCAAATTAGGCAAAGCTAGTACTCAATAATTATATATTTCCTGTCAGGTGCCCTGTCAGACTCTATCCTATGGAGTTGTGCCTGTTTTGGACTGATACGTAATAATAAGTTCAGAGTTGGACTTAACCGAAAATCGACTGGAAATATCTCTGAATCTTTAATTACCTGGATGTGCCATTGTCCATAAGTTAAGTTTGTTACAGAATTGTTCAAAATCCTCTTTTAAGTCTAAATCCATGCTGATCTACAACCTGAAAAATAGTTACATCATTGGATTAATGCCCACATAAATTGTTTCGGTTACCAGCCCATGCAATTTGCATCCTGATTCCAGGCATTTTTACTCTATTTCAACCATTACTCTTCAACTAAGAGTCTACTCAGTGTGATTGATATATTCAGCCAGAATAATTAAAGAAGAGCTAGAAACTGAAATAACAATTAGTCTAGAGAATCAAGAAACTAACTCTTATTCAAATAATTCCACAACAAATGCAAACAACCCTTTTCCGTAATAATGCGGGAAAGTTCTACAACATTAGTTAATAACTCTTACGCACATTGGCTTCAGTTAGTACAATACTATGTACGTGCCTATATATATGTCGATATCGAATCCCCGCTCACCGCCTCAGACGAAAACTTGGCGCGCGGGTTCTTTTCTTCATCAGTGCTCGTTCCTTCTCTCTCAACTTCTTCTCCTCGTTGACATGATCTTGTCGCTTCGGTAACTCATCTACCTCCAAAACTTTGATGCTCCGCTGCTTCCTCGCATTGCTCGATTCTTGATAACTTTGGTGGAGCTTTCTTTTGGTCATCTCAAGCTTCTCACCAGATGACAGATTCTGCGGAACCTGAACGGAGAATTTATCGGCAGGAGTAGAGTGTGCTTCTTCGGTCATCTTGCAGACATCAGCTTTACCAGCAGGACGAGACGGTGCTTGTTCGGTGCTCTGCCGAGGATGTTGAATTGGCGTGACTCGTCTTCTCCTCATATTCTCCATCGGATCCTTTGCTGCACCGGTTCCATCCGCAGCTGTAGGCCGTGATGCTGCAGCTCCATCGAGGCGAAGTCGTTTTCTCGGTAACTCCTCTGATTTCTTCTCCTCCTCTTGAGTTGGATCATCTTTGACCGCGTAGAGGCGGCAAGATCTCGCCACGACTACTCCTCCGCTCTTGATGACGACTCGGACTCGCCTCTCCCGTGCTCTCTCCACCTCCATTGCTATAAATCACCTTCTCTTCTCTTCTCTTCTCTGAAGCTTTTTTGCTAGCGCATGCTCTGCTTTTATTCTTGGTTTGGTCTGTCCCTACTCAGAGTAGGACGCGGTGTCTCAAATTGTTTCCTAATTGAGCTTTATTAGGAGGGAAGTGCGTACTCCTATTCTTAGTAGGTTAAGTTGTAAAAAATAAGTCAGGAAATTTTAGTGTTTTTTTTTAAAAATATCCTTAAAAGGTTTCATCTTTTAGGGTTTTTTTTGCAAATTTTAAAATTTGGAGTGGAGTTTCTTGCTATTCTACAAACTTTTAAGGTGCTTTTTGAAAATTTCAAATTTATCCGACCACCGTTAAGTAATTCCTAGATTTTCAGTGCATTGTTTGTTGGCTTGAAACTTTTGGGGTGTTTATTTTTGAAACTTTTGAACTTGAGGGTGTGTTTCGCAATAAAATTTTTTAGGTTGTTTTCTGTAAAATGGGATATTTTCTTTTTTCAATTTTTTTGGTCGGATACAAAGTTATGTAGTGTATTTGTGAGATTGAGTCTAAAGACAAGTCCACAAAATTGTAAGGGTTTTAAATTCGTGAAGCTGTACATTTTGGGGGAATTTGCAAATATGAATAATACGAGCAATCAATACGACCGTTAAGTAATTCCTAGATTTCCAGTGCGTTGTTTGTTGGCTTGAAACTTTTTGGGTGTTTAATTATTTTTGAAACTTTTGAACTTGAGGGTGTGTTTTGCAATAAAAATTTTTTGGTCGGATACAAAGTTATGTGGTGTATTTGTGACATTGAGTTTTTAAAGACAAGTCCACAAAATTGTATGGGTTTTAAATTCGTGAAGCTATACATTTTGGGTGGCTTGAAACTTTTTTATTTCCATTGCGTAAGAAGTCTTATAAAAAGTCTTTCTTTTTTTGAACTTATTATAACGACTGAAGTTGTAATGAGTCCCGCAATGAAGAAATCAACTTTCGACCCAAACACAGGATCCTCCCTTTTGGTCCCTTTCATTGATGAGTAGGTGGGAGAAGTTCGAGATTTCAAAGAGGAAGCTACAAGAAAACTATGAGGATGCTGAAATTGTTAATAAGAAGTGCAGGGTCATGATGATAGAGCAAGAAAGTATACTGCAGGCAACATAATAAAGACAAGTGTAAAGGGAGTTGAGGGTGTCATATTAATAAATTTGCAGCAATGTTGCCGCAACATAATTATGTTTCTAAGCTGCATAAGTCTCTTTATAATAAAAAAGATTACAACTTTCTTTAAAACACACAACGGATGTTTATCACCCGCTGTCTATACCACCTGGTCATCCACAACAAAAGACTAGTAATCTTGTTTATAAGCTGCATAAGTCTCTTCACGGACTCAAGCTTCGAGGCAGTGGTTTGCCAAATTCTCAGGAGCACTGTTAGCAGCTAGTTTTCATCAGTCCAAGACTGGTTACTCACTTCTTACATTGAGGAAAGGTCCACGTTTCACTGCCATTCTAGTTTATGTTGATGACGTCCTCATCACAGGTAACAATAAGGCTTCCATTGATGATTTGAAATTATATAATGCTGGTAAGTTTCACATCAAGGATCTTGAAAGATTGAAATACTTTTCTGGCATAGAGGTGGCTACATCAGCAAAGGGTGTTTTCCTCAATCAGAGAAAATGATGGGATGCAACCCTTCTCATGTACCTATAGAACAAAACAAGAAGCTCAATGATGACGATGTTGAGCCTCTAAGGTCGCCAGATGCATATAGAAGGTTAATTGGCATATTGATCTATCTAACCATCACAATACCTGATATATCTTATTCGGTCCAGGTTCTCAGTCAATTCATGCATTCTCCTAAAGTTCCACAAAATTACCAAATGAAACCCCATGGGGCATTTGCACTCTCAAACAAATTGTGCGTCAGTTAACCACTACACAGTTGAGAAATTCAACTCTTATTCTTGTGTATCAGTCAAAAACATGCACAGCTCAATTAGTAAAAAACACAATCCAAAAGAGTGAAAACGGAAATAAGACAGATGACAAATTGCGCGTCAGTTATCCATTACCAGGTTATATTAGGTTGAGAAATTCAACTCTTACTTGTGTATCAGTCAAAAACATGCACAGCTCAATTAGTGAAAAATGCAGTCGAGAAGAGTGAAACAGAAATAAGATAGATGACAGGAAAATTATGTACCTCTATGAGTTCATATATATCGAACAAGGAAGTACACAGAGAGGCACACAGAAAATATCCCAAAAATGAACTTTATTTCCAGTAAGTCAAAGCAAACTATTGACATGTAAATAAACGATTACAAATTACAAACATGACATTTCAAATGAAACTATTGTCATAAACTTTTTCTGAGCATTTAGACCGACTTCTCTTGTTGTTTGCAAGAGTGCATATGCTGACTTCTGCTTCTGCTGAATCTATCACCTTGTCCTGTCTACCAAGCGAAAGAAACATGATTATGTTTTGGCAACGTTGTTGCAAATTTATTAATATGACACCCTCGATTCCTCTTATGCCTCTCTTGTTTATGTCGCTGCATTGGTATACTCTTCAGGTCTATCATCACGACCCTGCGCTTCTTTTTTACATTTTCAGCATCCTCATAGTTTTCTCGCAGCTTCCTCTTTGAAATCTCGAGCTTCTCCTTATACGTCAGGCCCTCAGGTTTGCCAGTGACACGAGGCAAAATCTTTGGTGAAGCCCTTTTACAGACTTGTATTGGCTTCAAGTTGCGGCTCAGTTTGTCAGTGCTTCTCTTTAGGAGAACTGACTTTGCTGGTTCTGTTGAAGCTGGATTTCCTCCTGGTTTTGAAGTTACCTGAGGCTTCGTGATGGAATTTTTCACTGTTTTCAACTGAATAGTTCCCCCAGCTTTCTCCCCACTCTTCGGTAAGACCTTTAGACAACTTTCGGTTTCACTTGGTAGCTCATCTCTGTAACTCATGATGAAAGTCCCCTGAGGCTTGTGAATGGATCTTTTCAGTACTTCAATGTTCTTCCCGGTTCTCTTTTGCTCTCTTCTGCTAGGGGACCCTTCATCAATCATTCCATCGAAGAAATTTGTGAGGTCAAACGTCGAAGTCTGTGAAGCAATTAGATCACCAATATCAAATGGAAGCTCCTCCTCTCTAGCTGAATATAAATCGAAGGTTGCTCGGGTATCGGCCATCCATTTATTCAGAAGAAACTCCCATCCCGTAACGAGAAGATGGGCGAATTTTCTGATTCTCTCGCTGGTATCTTTTAAAAAGCAATTTACCGAAGTGGCAATGTTTGTGGCTTTGATGATATGTGCAGGGAGCTCCATCAACTGCAGCAGCCTTAATGACTCAAATAGAAGGTTCTCAGACTGAGAGGAAAAGAAATCTTTATCAGTTAAACTATTTATAACCATTCCTGTACTATAATTAAACGCAAAAACCTGAAACTGATCTCTGAGATCAGAAATAAGTGCACCAGGAATAAATAACTTGAGCCTCCCAATTATGAAATGTGTAATGCAATCAAAACTTAGTCTAATAACAGGTCAATGCATGTAATTCATCTTATTTCTAGCCTCAAATATTGCAAACCTGTCGAAATCTAATAAGCCAAAAACAAAATCCTGTACAGTAACAAACATGAACCACAAACCTGAAACTTCTATCATCTGTGACTGAGAACAGAAAGCTTAGACTCTCTTAGTTCCAAGCACACGAAGGAATAAAAAGGGTTATTTTCATATACGCCCCTTGAGTCATGGGCATTTGCAAAACTACCCCAAATCTTTGCATTTGCGAAGCTATACCCCCTCAGATCATCAATTTTTGAGGGGCGGGGGGACACCCTAAAACCAACAAATGATCAACTTGATGAGTAAAAACTTTACCATGCTGTTAATAATTTACACGGCAGTCACAAGCTAGCTTTATTGAAGCTGATAATTGATTGATTCGGGGGCATCCTTTTCCGAGGTTGATGGCTTGAGGGGTAAGATTTGCAAATACTGAGATATTTTTGGGGGGCTAGTTTTGCGAGTGCCCATGATTAAATAGGTAGGTTCGCAAATAACCCAAACAAGAGAAACGAACGATCCATCAACATGTAATAATGAAGACTGTACGTAATACAGTCAGTATGAAAATTATCCTGATTATAAGCATTAATAATTCCAAAAACTACAAAAAAAACTTGGAACAAATTCGAAATCCCTTCAGACCCATTTTAATTAGAAGAGTCCCAGCCAATCAAGAAACAGGAAGCCACAAAACTAAAGAGTTCAGAGATGGAAATAACTTACGTGTTCGTGGCGAGCATCAAGAAGCCTCTTGATCCTGAGCACCTCTCGAACGGTGTGGCTCTCCTCATCGATCTCGTCGAGAAGCGCGCTGGCCACTTCATCACAGCCGTACGTGCTCTCCGAACTCTGCTTCATCGATCTCGGCAGCATTGCCATTGATCAATCCGATGTTGAAAAAACCCTAGCTTTGGAAAGCAGAAAGAAAAAGACGGGAGCTTTGAAACTGAAGGAGAAGTAGTGAGTTCAGGGGCTAGGGTTTTGAAATTCGAGCGGTCAGCAGCCTTGAGAGATTGGGGAAATAAATAGGGAGAGGGGAGGAGGGAGGGTGTTTTAATGGCTGAGATCATCTGTTCGTTGGAAAATCCCGCCAAAACGAAGCGCAGGCAGCGGAGGATTCACGCTGACCGTTGCCGTTATCGGGTCTGATTATGTAGCCTAACTGATGTTTCCTAAAAATCAATTAACTTACCAAATATGGCAGCAGTTATTTCCAGGGAAAATTACTGAACCAAACCAACTCAATAACTAATCTCCAAGTAGATCGTTTTAGGAAACACTTGATTTGGAGCCACTTTCAAATCATGGGTAGCGGGCTCACCTGATTTGACCCAAATCCGCTTTAGGAAGCCTTGGGGCTTGATCGCTCGCAGGGCGTTCTTACATGTGCACCACTCGTATCATTCATATTTGCAAATTCCCCCAAAACGTACAGCTTCACGAAGTTAAAACCCATACAATTTTGTGGACTTGTCTTTAAGGAGAAGACGAGTCACGCCAATTCAACATCCTCGGCAGAGCACCGAACAAGCACCGTCTCGTCCTGCTGGTAAAGCTGATGTCTGCAAGATGACCGAAGAAGCACACTCTACTCCTGCCGATAAATTCTCCGTTCAGGTTCCGCAGAATCTGTCATTTGGTGAGAAGCTTGAGATGACCAAAAGAAAGCTCCACCAAAGTTATCAAGAATCGAGCAATGCGAGGAAGCAGCTAGCGGAGCATCAAAGTTTTGGAGGTAGATGAGTTACCGAAGCGACAAGATCATGTCAGCGAGGAGAAGAAGTTGAGAGAGAAGGAACGAGCACTGATGAAGAAAAGAACCCGCGCGCCAAGTTTTCGTCTGAGGCGGTGAGCGGGGATTCGATATCGACATATATATAGGCACGTACATAGTATTGTACTAACTGAAGCCAATGTGCGTAAGAGTTATTAATATCGACATATATATAGGCACGTACATAGTATTGTACTAACTGAAGCCAATGTGCGTAAGAGTTATTAATTGATGTTGTAGAACTTTCCCGCATTATTACGGAAAAGGGTTGTTTGCATTTGTTGTGGAATTATTTGAATAAGAGTTAGTTTCTTGATTCTCTAGACTAATTGTTATTTCAGTTTCTAGCTCTTCTTTAATTATTCTGGCTGAATATATCAATCACACTGAGTAGACTCTTAGTTGAAGAGTAATGGTTGAAATAGAGTAAAAATGCCTGGAATCAGGATGCAAATTGCATGGGCTGGTAACCGAAACAATTTATGTGGGCATTAATCCAATGATGTAACTATTTTTCAGGTTGTAGATCAGCATGGATTTAGCCTTAAAAGAGGATTTTGAACAATTCTGTAACAAACTTAACTTATGGACAATGGCACATCCAGGTAATTAAAGATTCAGAGATATTTGCAGTCGATTTTCGGTTAAGTCCAACTCTGAACTTATTATTACGTATCAGTCCAAAACAGGCACAACTCCATAGGATAGAGTCTGACAGGGCACCTGACAGGAAATATATAATTATTGAGTACTAGCTTTGCCTAATTTGCCTTATAGGGACTACTAACTTCTTTCCTTCACTTGCTTATTTCTTCATTAATATCAATCAAAGTTGTTGTTCAATTATGACAGGAAGCATTTGCAATTTTTTCCTTTCTGGGATGATCTCTAGATTCCATGTTATAACTTGTATGCAAAACTGTAACACATCATTAAGAACGCAAAAAATATAAAATTACATTCAAAATTTATTATTTCACAGTAATTCCCCTAATAAACCTTCATAATATGATCAAATTATTTTTGTAAGTATCCTTATTAGAACAGTTTCACCTCTAAGATGCACACTTGCTATGAATTTGATATACTTACCTAGGGTGGTACAAAGTACTGAACTTATTGCCTTCCCCTTATCTATCAAGCCAAAGGAACATAATCAATTTTTGGCAACATTGTTGCAAATTTACTAAGGTGACACCGCTCATTCCCTTGACGCTACTCCTGGTTATGTTGATCTGTATCAGAATCATTTTACAACCAGTATGAACCCTGTGACATTCTAATTTGATGCAATACAAAATATCAAATTAAATAAGAAAACACACCAAGATACTACACAATTAAACCCCAAAAGGTACTCTCACTCTCCGAAAAATTGCGCGTCAGTTATCCATTACCAGGTTATAGTACGTTGAGAAATTCAACTCTTACTTGTGTATCAGTCCAAAACATGCACAACTCAATCAGTTGGCTCGCTTCACCATTTTCTATCTCGTCCTGCTGATAAAACTGATGTCAAGATGACTAGAGAAGCACAATCTTCTCCTGCCCATAAGTTTTCCGTTCACATTCCGCAGAATCTATCATTTGGTGAGAAGTTTGAGATTACCAAAAGAAAGCTTCACCAAAGTTATCTAGAATCCGACAATGCGAGGAAGCAGCGGAGCGTCAAAGTTTTGGAGGCAGATGAGTTACCGAAAAAACAAGATATCAACGAGGATAAGTTGAGAGAGAAGAGATGAGCACTGATGATGAAAAGAATCCACATGCCAAGTTCTCGTTTGAGACGGTGAGCGAGGATTTGTTATTGGCATATATACGTATGTATATAGTTGTCAAAAAACATAACAGATCCCAGTATGACACCGCACTCCCCAAAACCACCCTCCCTTATTTTATTTCTTTTCAATGTCTATTTTTATTTTTTACAGGAGAAGAGACTATCCTTTATAGAACACAGGATTGTCTGCCAAGATTCTCTTATTTTAGGAATGTAAGTATACAAGGAAAAAAACTAAATGTGCAGGATTGCAATCTTCTCATTTAGGCGCATATCCATCTTGACAGAATCTACTAGCTGGTGCCTCTATAGCTCACCTTTTCACACTCCTCCTCAAGTTGGTTGGTAGATATCTACCATACCTAACTTGCCCAATGAGCTGTCAAAACTTCGTGTATCGACAGCTTTGGTCAAAACATCTGCTAATTGTTCCTCTGATCTGACATGAGGGAACCGAATGATCTTGTCTTCAAGATTGTGTTTTATGAAATGGCAATCCACCTCAACATGCTTGGTTCGATCGTGTTGCACCGGGTTGTGGGATATGTCAATTGCTGCTTTGTTGTCGCAAAACAGATCCATCTCCTCCTGTGGCGAATACCCAAGTTAGGTCATAAGTTTTCTTAACCATAATAGCTCGCACAATCCCTTAGACATGCCACAAATTTCAGCTTCTGCACTGGAAAGGGCTACCACATTTTGTTTCTTACTTCTCCATGTTACTAGGTTGCCTCCAACAAATGTGAAGTTGCCAGCCATAGACTTTCTGTCTGTCACATTTCCTGCCCAGTCAACATCAGTATAACCACTGATCTTTAGGTGTCCATATTTCCTGAACTGTATCCCTCTTCCCGGGGAACCCTTTAGATACCTGAGAATTCTATCTAATGCTTCCATGTGTGCTTCACTAGGTGAATGCATGAACTGACTTACCATACTTACTACGTAAGCAATGTCAGGTCTCGTGTGAGAAAGGTATATCCGCTTTCCCACCAATTTCTGGTATCCTTCCTTGTTGGTTAGAGTCTGGTCCGGATAATTTCCAAGTTTTAGATTTTGAACTGCAGGTGTGTTAGCTGGTTTGTAATCTAGCATTCCAACTTCGGTGAGCAGGTCTAGCACGTACTTTCTCTGGGATAAGACAATGTCCTGTTTGGATCGTGTAACCTCAATTCCTAAAAAATATTTCAACCCTCCGAGATTTTTCATTTCGAATTCTTTTGACAACCTTTCTATTGGCCTTATGGTTTTGATGATGATTTGTCAAACAATTTATAGGAAATCTATTTTTTAGTTTTTGTTGTTTGGTTTTTCTCTTTACAGGTAATTCAACACACGACAATCAAGAGTTATAGATTCAAGTTTATGTGTATGCATTCACCTAGGTATAAGTTTAGTTTGCTTACATATATCATATGATTATATTTAAGCTCAATATGTAAACACAACACAAATTTGACGTTTTATATCATATAAATGATTTTTAATCAAACTTTATTACAATAGCTTTTATTTCATGTTTACAGCTCGTTCATACTTCATTATATATATACAATATATACATGATAAAAATATACGAGTTTACAAGTCATATCTCAATTTTCATGTTCGTGAAAAACATGTTTTATGAACATTTTTCAAAAACAGTGAGTTTTCACAAACGAAAATTATATTTCTAAAAATTCCTTTTCAAACATGTTTATTTTGTCATTTAGAAACTTTTCTCAAAGTTTTACTATTTTCGAAATTAATTTGATATTTTTAACGTATTTTCAAAATCACCCCAAAACCTGTAATTTAACATATATCAGTTTGCGTTCGACCATCACGGTTGACCGCCAGCAGTTAAATTTCATAGTATGCCTTTTATTGAATCACGATCGACCGTGATGGTCGACCTAGCTCATCCAGAGACTTTCGCGGTCGACCGCCAGCTTTTAAATTCTCTTCACAGCCTTTTTGTGCTTCACGGTCGACCGCGAGATTTCCACGGTCGACCACCAAACTCATAATTGCTTTCCAATGAGTATTTTTTGATTTGATTTTCTGGGGCTATTTTGGTCTTTTTAAGTTTATTTTGGCTGATATTTTGAGTGGGTATAAATACCCCATTGTCGCGCGCCTTTGCTGAAGCCTTGCACGAACTCACAACGAACCTGTGATCACGAGTAGAAGAAAGCCAAACTCTTGCACAAATCCAACCAATAATGCCAAATCAATCCAAACATAGAGATATACGTGGTTCGGCAATTTGCCTACGTCCACGGGGAGAGGATGGGGAGATTTCACTAAATCAAGGAGAGTACAAAGGGTTACAATCACACAAATTCTCTCAAACTAACCCTCAACCAAAGATCTCACCTTGCTCACAATATCTCCCTCTCACAATGCTCAAAAGATTCCTCAATCTCTGATATTTTATCCTCACAAATCGTTTCCCTATTTATACCAAAACAAAACCCCAATCAGACTGCAAATAGGAAACCTACGTATGCAAAAAACCCGTCGTAAGTCGACTTAACAGAGCTCACAAGTCGACTTGACAGAGAGAAAATCAACAACTGGAGAACACTTCATAAGTCGACTTAACAGACTGTTAAGTCGACTTGCCATAAGTCGACTTAACAGTCATGCTAAGTCGACTTGACAGAGGCTAAAATCACAATTCGGCTGCAGATCGTAAGTCGACTCGTGCACAGTGCATGAGTCGACTTATGCCAGTTTTTCTGGTTTTTCTGATTCTTTTCCTGATTTCTCCACAATTCTCCACCTCGGCGAATTTTGCCAAAAAATGAGCCGACACCAAACCAAGAGCATCAATGTGTCGTCTCTCCAAATACGGCTGCACCACCATGGTTGCCTACGTACCCCCTCTCCCAAGGGATCAAGCCGCCCGTAGTTCATCCAAATGGCCGTCAACGGCCTCAACAATCACAAATATTCAACAAGTTTCTGCAATGATCAAACTTGTTGCTTGGAACCACCTTCGTGAGCATATCCGCCGGATTATCCTTCGTATGGACCTTCACAATCTCCACATCGCCATCTTCAAGAACATCTCGAACGAAGTGATAACGAACGTCAATGTGCTTCGTCCTCGCATGAAAAACCTGATTCTTCGCCAAATATATAGCACTCATGCTATCACAATGAATAGTGACGGATCGCTGCGATATACCAAGTTCTTCCAGAAGTCCTCGAAGCCAAATAGCCTCCTTCACAGCCTCCGTAACTGCCATATACTCTGCCTCCGTCGTAGACAAAGCCACCGTCGACTGTAAGGTGCATCTCCAACACACCGGCGCACGGGTCAAGGTGAACACATACCCCGTCGTAGATCGGCGCTTATCCAAATCCCCGGCATAATCCGAATCAACATAGCCAATGCATAACTGCCCACCTGTAGTGTCCCGCTCATAAACCAAACCAACATTGAGCGTACCTAGAATGTACCTCAAAATCCATCTCACGGCATCCCAATGACCCACTCCTGGATCGTGCATGTATCTCGACACCATGCTCACTGCCTGTGACAAATCCGGCCTCGTACATACCATCGCGTACATCAAGCTCCCAACTGCGCTCGCATATGGAGTCTTCGACATCAACTCACGGTCTTCAACTGACTTCGGTGAAAGGTCAGCTGAAAGCTTCAAATGGGCTCCCAACGGTACACTAACTGGCTTCGTATCCATGCTAACATGGAATCGCTGTAGAACCTTCTTCAAATAAGCCACCTGTGTCAAACAAATTCTGCCCTTCTTCTTGTCTCTGCCGATCTCCATCCCTAAAATGCGCTTCGCCTCGCCCAAGTCCTTCATCTCAAACTCATTCGAAAGCTGAATCTTCAACTCATCTATAGCTGACCTGGAACTTGAAGCAACCAACATGTCATCGACATAAAGCAATAAATAAATGTACGCACCTCCTCTCAACTTGCGAAAATACACGCAAGGATCAAACTGGCTCCGAGTGTACGAATGACCAAGCATAAAACCATCAAATCGCCTATACCACTGTCGAGGAGACTGCTTCAAACCGTATAGCGATTTCTTTAGCCTGCAAACCAACTTATCTTTCCCTGCAGCTCGGAATCCCAATGGCTGAGTCATATATATTTCTTCATCAAGATCACCATGAAGAAATGCTGTCTTCACATCCAACTGATCTAACTCCAATCCATACTGTGCCACCAAAGCTAGCAAAATCCGAATCGACGAATGCTTCACCACCGGAGAGAAAACCTCATTGTAATCAATACCTTCCTCCTGTGCATAGCCCTTCGCAACCAACCTAGCCTTGAACCTCACTGGAGTGCCCTCAATGCCCTCCTTCTTCGTGTACACCCACTTGCACCCAATCGCCTTCCGCCCCTTTGGAAGCTCTACAAGCTTCCATGTATCGTTCTTGTGAAGAGACTCCATCTCCTCCTGCATAGCCACCTGCCACGAATCAGCCTCCGAACTCTGCTCGGCCTCTCTGAATGTAGTAGGCACCATCTCATCGATACTCTCCACCGGAAGTGCATATGCAACTGTGTCGGCATACCGTGCTGGCACCCGTATGTCTCTCCTCTGTCTCCGTGCCGCAATAGAATCCTGAACCTGAGCCGTCGGTCCCTGATCCTGCTCATGAGTACCCGTATCCTCCGCATCACCGTCGTGCTCGCCTGGCGTCACCTCAGTCGGCACTCTCATGGATACTGCACTATCTGGACTCTGTGGAGCTGCATCAATCTCCACCACCTGCGAAATCTCCTCTGTCGGGTTGCTCTCCACCTGATGAGAGCTGGGAAGCTTCAAGATAGAAGCCTCATCGAATGTGACGTCCCTACTCAGCACAATCTTCTTATCAACTGGATCCCAAAGCTTGTATCCCTTGACACCACGCTTGAATCCTACAAATATGGCCTTCCTAGCTCGAGGTTCCAACTTATCAGTTCTAACATGATAATATGCAGGGCAACCAAATACCTTAAGCTGGTCATAGTCATGTGCTGTCTCTCCCGACCACATCTCCATAGGGGTCTTCCCCTCAATCGCAGATTTATGGAAGGAATTAAGAGGAGAATTTGGCTTTGGCCTTAACTTTTATAGGTTTGACCTGAAAGCAAAGAGAGCGGAATACATGTAGCAGTAGAAATACTGGTTTGTACTATCCACTCGATGGAGGATTTTGATGTTAAGTGGTTAGGCCTTAACACGTCAAGTTTTGGGAATTGCCATGAATTGGCGGATAGAATTTTAGTGGACCCACCGTCAATTGATTTGATCAGTGAGGGATTTTATAGTGGAAGACTATGAGTCGTCGAACACCAATGGGAGTTTTGTGAGGGAAGATTGATCCAATGAAGTGATCGAATCTCGCCTCAGCAAAAGAGTGTTCGGAAATCACAGTAAGAGCTTAGTGTTTATCACTTTATCCATAATGATCAGGTTATCCCTAAGAATATTACATTTAACATTCTTCTGGAAACTTCCTGTTATATAAATTATTCACCCCCAGCTTCCTTTGTGAAGCTGGATTTACCATTGTATTCAGTTGCATGATCGGGTTATCCTTAAGAATATTACATGTAAAAATTCGGAGGATTAAGAAGCAGTTTATACTCTTATACTTGTCGGAGTGTTGAGAAGCAGTTTATACTCGTATACTTGTTGGAGTAATTTGAGAAGCAGTTTATACTCGTATACTCTTTGGAGTTTTCATTCGGTTTAATTGAGCGATATAACGCCGGCTTCAACCAAGGTTTGGATGATATTCTTAAGAGCGAAGCAAGCCTTGGTAGGATGAAGGATCCTCTTGTGGTACGCACAGTACCTCGGATCCGCAGTACTATCAGCTTCCTCCTGATCTGGGGTAGGTGGTAGCTTGATCTTGTTATTTTCAAGGAGGGACTCGAAAATAACCAGAACATCTTCGTCCTTGAAGGAGTACTCTTTTTGGAGTCTCGGATCCGAAGTTTTTTGCTGCCTTCGGGGTTGTTGTTGTGATGTCTGATTAATGTCTACAATCGCTGCATGTGCCTTTCCTTTACTACGGGAGGCGAAGTTTGAGTTCGGAAGATTCGCCGTCGGTTGGCTCCTCTCGGCTTTCTTCCTTCGGAGGAAGCGTTCGGCCCGCTCTCCGCGCATCTTCAACTCTTTCCAAGTGTTGGACGGTGCGACTCCCATAACTTCTAATATCTCAATAGATAGGTTGTTATGACA